TACGTTTTTTTTTTTTTTTTTTTTTTGTGGGAGGAATCTCGATTGATTCACCTCATCTATTTAGTTAAAATAAACGATGGGGTAGTTGAAATTTTACAACCCAACCGTCCAAAAATATAGAATGAGAAACACAAATTATTGACACCAAAATTGATAGAAATTGGAATTAACAAGAATTTCCACTGTAATACAATTATACATCCAAACTAGATATCCCTCCCACGACCCAAATAATTCTGATGACAAAACTTTTTCAAAATCTATCTAGGGCACAAGTGCAAAGTAGCACATCATTTCCACAATAATCAGACTGGAGGTCGATCTCCATAAAAAAAGGTACTCTTTTCGAGGGACAAAGTCCAGACTGTCTCTAACCTAATAATTCCCAAAAACAGTCTAGAAAGAATATACCAAGAACACACCCCTTCCAAGATCTAAAAAAACAATCCCGCAAAATCAAATTGTACGCCAGGCAATATCGAACACAACAACGCAATTACCCGAGGAAGATTACGATTGTAATCCTCGGAGTTCAGCGTAGTTTTGCCAACAGAAAATCCCAAAAATGAAAACCCAAATCGATGAATAAAAATTTCAGAAGAAAGCAGAGAAAGAGAAATTGAAGGTCTACCAAGAGAAGAAGAGATAATTGACGACGGAGATGCGGAGAAGGAAATTACCTAAGAGAGCGAAGAGATGAAGTGGCCGTCGCTAAGGGGGAAAAACATGAACTAGGGTTTTAGGACCCTTTTAAGTTTTGGGCTTTCATATAAATGGGCCTCATAAAAGGAATCGTTATACCGGTAATTCGTTTACAAATGGCCCATTTAAATCCACTAGCCACTCGATATAACTCGAACCCGACTAACTTGAACTATCCAACCTAATTTTTATGGTTCGGGTTGGGTTATATTTTTTTTTTGTTAGGGTCGGGTTGAATTTTTAAAAAATAAAAATTTGGGTCAATTCATGAATTGATATTTTTTCGGTCGGGTTGACGGTCAACCCGAAAATAAGGTTACAACCCAGCTCAACTTGAAAACAGATGATTGGGTTGGGTTGTGAATTTTATTCTAGTTGTTAGGATCACCAACCGAACCAACCCTAAATTTAGTTTGTTCAAAAAGATTTCCGGAGCCCAACTCGTGTACACCCTACATGTGTATAAATTTTATAACATCGTATTTTTTAATAAAAAAATTGTGTATATATTTAAAATTTAAGTAAATAATATGAACTACAACTTTTCAATTACTGAACCGTTAGAAGTGGTTTTACACGATACATCTCTGTTGTTAAGATGGTTATGTTTCATCACATCGATATGCAAACAAATGCACCGCTATAGTCATGTCACACTCATATGTAAACAAATGACTACTTCGAGATGAGTCTGAGTTACGTTTGAGCTTCCTAAGATTGTAATCCCAACTTGTTGAGGTTTGCTAGGATCGAAACTCATTAAACTTTCCCACATTTCAAAAATATTCATCCACGAACTCTCAAAGAGATGCCAAATTGATTGCATCAATTTCTAAGATAGCATAGATTATCATATGAATCTAGTTCAAACTTTCACAAGGAAAATGTGTGCAAGATTTTGTTTGACACTCTCCTACGTAGCTAAGGTAACCTTATGTTACAAGTTATAGAGTACGTTATCAGTGATTCATCTTCTAGAGGCACGTATGAAATACAAAACGATATTAAGCTAAGGCTTACAAGGTTTTGAAGTCTCTAATGTGTTGCTATCGAGTGAGTCATCCAAATTCATTGATTTATATGGCTTCTTAGGCCTTTTTCTAGTGATGATCATCGTCGTTGCTATAATTGTCGTAATTATTGTCATAGAGTATTCACTTGATGAGTTGGTCTCTCATTCATTCATATATTATTAGATCTCTGGTAGGGTAAGTTAATCATCAAACTTTTAAACCTCCTTTGAGAACCTAGCATCTTTGCTCTACTAATGAGATCTCGCTATCCACTTCCCTTGGGGAACCTAGCGTCCTCTCTCTACTTCGCTTTACTAAGGAGAAGTTTCCACTTTTACAAGAAATGTTTCGTTCTCCTCTCCAACTAATGTGGGATCTCACAATCCACCCCTCTTGAAAAACCCAATGTCCTCGCTAGCAGATATTGTCCGCTTTTACCTCAACTTCATGATTTTAAAACGCGTTTACTAGGGAGAGATTTTCACACCCTTAATAAAGAATGTATTGTTTCCCTTTTCAACAAATGTGGGATCTCATGTTACTGCACGAATGTTGTGACCTTCGAAAGAAGGCTCAATTCTGTTAAAATAGCTAAAATATAAACTTTCAAGATCATTAAGCGTCATTTAGACCTAATAAAAAAAATTTAAACTAAAATCATGAAATCTAACATTAGAAAGTAATAAAAGTATACTAATTTCTTGACTAAAACATTAAAAGTAAAAACTGGGTAGAAAGTGACTCAAATATGACTACCATGGTCTATATAGCAACCATTGTTGGGTTGTTCTTGTGCTGGAGTCACATTGAAAGTTCTTGCATAGACATAAACATGAATCATGTACAACATTTACATGCACCATTTTTATACATATAAAACTCCTCAACCTCGATGAGAATGCAGAATCAAACTCGAAATGTTTTGAGTTTCGTAAAATTCAATCATTCAGTTATCAAACTCAAATTTTAACTCCTAGATTTTATTCTCTAATTCCAATTTTCAATTAATTGCTGACATAAAGTTAAAATGACACTGATTCCAATTCCAATTCCAATTCCAATTCCATTCCCTTTCATGGGTTTTGATAAAATGAGAACATCCCTTGGTAACAATGGTGAAGCTTGACAAAAAGACTTTTCCAATTTCTCATAGAAATCTTCTACACCAACAAACATGAAACCCATTCCCATTACATCTCAAGTCCTCTTTCCCGTCATTCCTTTTCCTATTTATTCCAACAAGGTAAACTCGGACTCTATTTAAAAAACTACTTCGCTTCTAAGATGATGTTTAGCCATGCCACTCTCATCAAAAGGGAGCCTATTGGCGACTGGTGGAGACTTTTTTTCTTTTTTTGGCACCCCTTTAGGCTATGGCTCAAGGGCATCTCGGTATGGTATGGAAATTGATCTAAGATGAATAGAAAAAGATTAATCAAGTGGCGACCAAGAATAGTGGATCAGATGCAGGAGAAATGTCTTGTTTAATCATAAAAAATTTGGAGAAAGACCATGTAATCGTGTATGGGGAATTCCTTCCATACACGATTGGGGAAAGACCAAACTTGTCGAGTGCCCCGCCCAGTTCACTGGGCTGTTGGAATCATCTTAAAATAACTTAAGATGGACTATAAAGGGAAGGAAAAAGGCAGTCACACGAGAATCACCTATAGTTAGTTTCTTGGTTATAGACTAAATAGAAGACATCACTTCCAAATATGGTCTTCTGGCTTATATATAATCTTTGAAACCTCCTCACTATCCCTGCTTTTATGCATTATTTCCTAATTGGAACCCCAAATTGTTGAAGCTGTAAATTTAGTACTCATCCAAACCCTTTTACCATAAAACTTTGTTTCTAAGCTGTTCAAGACATGGGAGTTACAATGAATGTACAGTACAACCCACATATCATATTAAGATAATCACACTCTTAGGTAGAAACTTGAATAATTAACACACTATCATGAGACAAACAGAAAGTGAATGAAAGGTTTATGAATCAAACCATAATCCCCAAAAGTTATCTGTCCACATTCCTACGAAAAATTTAGGAACTACCCAAGACTTCAACCAAAACATTAACTAAGGCCATAGAAACGAATCATTCAGAAAGTTATATAAGAAAAGAATGGTTTAAATGTAACATCCCAAGCCCACCGCTAGCAGATACTGTCCTCTAAGAGCTTTCCCTTCTGGGCTTCCTCTCAAGGTACTTAAAACGCATCTGCTAGGGAGAGGTTTTCACAACCTTATAAAGAATGCTTCGTTCTCCTCCTCAATCAATGTGGGATCCCACAATCCACCCCCATTCAGGGCCTAGCGTCCTCATTGACAGTTGTTCCTCTCTCCAATCGATATGGAATCTCACATCAAATATGCAAACTAATGCACCCAGACAATTAGGTAAATGAATCATTTTTTTTTAAATAGAAATGAGGACACCAAACTCATATCATCCACATGAATAATTGAACAATTCAGACCAGAATAAAACTCCACACTAAGGTAAGAAGAAAAAGCACCAATACTAAAATTAACTTGATAATTGAAATTACTGGAGATATAAATTGAACAGTGAAGTAAATCTAAAGATTATCGTGAGTTTCTCTTCAATAAGTTCTTAAATTAAGAGGAAAAAATTCAAAACTCTAGCTCTATATCCTTTGTCTTCTCAACAACTAACATAACAGTTAAAAAAGATTCCAAACAGGATAAAGAGCAAATCACAAGAGAAACACCTCAGAATCCGAGCTTCGTGCGGCGCCAGTGCCTTCGCTTGGCATTGTACCTGAAGGATACATCAACATATGATGTTAAATTCAAAACTGAGAAGAACAGAAATGAGATGATATGAAAAAAAGGCAGAAAAGAGTTACATACCTGATGGTGTTGTCAGTCCTCAACCGTATCCAGTGAGGAATAGGCCTGTTCTGTCTCATCTTCTTAGCCAACTTCTTCTTGATTCTGAAGGTCTTGTGAGACGGCTGCAAACATTAAAGAAAACTCACATCATAAAACACAATCTCCCAAAACAAAACTCAATTGAATATATAACTAAATACATTTTCAGAAGGAACACATAAAAATCACTTCCAAGAAGAAACAGTTACCATCTTCGAAATTCAGAATTCCGCCAACAACAGCAACAAATTGCCTGATAAAGGAAGAACCACCATCAATACATAAACCAAATGAAAAAACATAAAGAGAATGAATAATTCAACATTGAAGTCCAGACTAAAAAAGGGGAACTCATATTCTGCAAATGTTTTTTTTTTTTTTTTTTTT